CAGGTCCCTCCAGCCCAGGGCTTATAGCAAGAGCCCCTCTAGCACCGGCAGCACCCCAGAGTCAGCGACAACCCCGCCCATCCCCCACTAAGTACATTTGTTTTTGAAGTACTTACACTTGTACTTCTTAATGCTCCTCCTACTAAATTATTGTTCTTTTTGTTCCACTACACCTCGGTCGTTAATAGTTACTTTCATATTAAGATATTACATATATTACAACACATGATGACCTTTTAAAATCCAATTCATTGGTATAGATTGTACTAGTGGTCCCCAAGTTTTTGACTTATGACCAATTACAGAATAGTTATTTCTACTTGCAACCTCTTGTCACATTTCAGAGCAGAGCAGTTTCACCAACGAGAGATTCCCTCAATACTTCTCTCATGGTTTTAGTTAAATGATCATTTAAACTGTCCAAGGCCCACAGAGGTTATGAATGTCCACTATGTGACAAGAAAGTCCAAATTTGAATACAAATTGGTGTAGCAGAACTTTTTCTCTTTTCATTCTTTTGTACTTCCATCATCTTATGACCCCTCCGATTTTTCTTGTGACCCTTCGGAGTGCTAGCAAACCCTAAGTTGGGAACATCTCCACTTCAACCACCTACAGCAGTAAAATGCTGATGCATCAGTTTGAACTGTCAAATAATGTACTGTAAAAGATTATATCACTAACACGGGCCATTTTTCTGCAGAACGAGTACTTTTACTTTTGATATTTTAAGTACATTTTGCTGATTATACCTCTGTACTTGTACCTATGTAGGATTTTCAATGCAGGACTTTACTTGTAATAGAGTGTACTGTATTGGTACTTTTAGTGTTTAGCTGTAAATACAATACTGACATCACTATTTAAGTAATGGCAAACCTGTTAGCAAAACGTTGTGTTTACACAACCAACTGATTAGCCTTAATTTGGAGTCCTGTTTGTGGCCACTTGAAGAATGTAAGTCCATTATTCACTCTGCTTTTTGTTCTGTATTTGGTCACCAACAACTCTTAAATATCTGGATCTTTAGCTTGTAAATGCTGAACTAAAGTTTGTCTGTTTGCAGCTTGGTGCCAAGTAGGCTGTGTACAGTGGATTTTTAGAGCTTTTTAGAGCTGCAGATTCAGGTGATAATTCACTGTAGGTTCATCATCCCCTTCACATAGCCACATTGTTTTCAGATTGTTTTCGCACTGGCATTTGCTACAGATTATAAAAATATCAACTCTATACCTCTTCCACTAATAGCTAAAACTAGCTAAATAGCTAAAACTGTTGAACCCATAATGAAAACAAACACAACCAGCTGTGGTAAAATACTTTTATAGAGCAGTCATCCATATCTGAAATATAGCATCCAAGCAGAGTAGCTCTGATATGTACAGAACTCAACTCACTCATTGAATTTATATGCTTTTTATGTAAATATGTGGTGTTCATTTGTTTATGCATGTGCTTGTGTGCTGTATGTGCATGTAGACATATGTAATAGTTTGTCATCAATTACAGTATATTAAAAGTTTTAAATACAGGTCATAATAATTATTTTTAAATGTCTCTGGTTATAAAAGCTGGTGTTCTGACCCTCATTAGTCCATTAATGAAGATGAATCCTTCCACTCAATCTTTTTCTCTCTTTGCCTATAAACTCTTTTCTTTTCATCTTTTATAAATATTCTCCATCCACTCTGCTGTATTGCCTCTTGTACTGTGCCCCTTGCCCCTTTCCACCCGCTATATATTCTCTTTATATCTCCTAATTGCTTCCTAACTGTGAGTCATCTTGTGGACTGAACTTTTGCTTTTATTTGACTTCAGCACTTTTACTTCCCTGCACCGGTATCAAACCTGTAAGTGCTGAAGAGGCATTTTAAGAGCAGTAACAACATGTGTGCCCCAGTCAAACCATTCTCATCAACTCCAAAAACAACAGCTAAAATTATAACCTCTGTAACTCTTTGTCCTCCCACAGTTTTATGTTTGCATTTTAATTCTCCAGTTCATTCCACACTTGTTTTTGAATCAAATCTCCACAGTTTATCTTCTGTTGTTTTTCAAAGAAGGGTATGCAGTGCACTAAAGTATCAAAATGTCTTTCGCTCTATCCTCTAGCCCTCAGAGGAACCAGAAACATTTCTTCCTGTTCTTCTTGGTGGTGGCAGGGGGTCGCACCAGTTGAGGGGAGTCTTGTTGGTTGGGTGTGGTGGGCTGGGGAGTGGCGGGCTGTGGTGAGCCCTCAGGAGGGTCGCCCACCTTCCATGTGCGTACCACCTGCCCTTCCTGCAGACGAAAGTCATGCTCTACACTAGAAAGAGAAACAACGCAGGAAAGTGTTGGTTATATGTTATATGTTATGTGTGTTTAAACCTGCAATAACAGATTTTTGTTGTGAACACAACATTGAAATATCATCACCTTTGAAATTGTTATGACGAACTTCTTAGTAAACAGTTGATAATTTACACATCCAGCAGTTATGGGGCAACATTATCATTCATTTGGAGTAATGTTCCTGACCACCTGAAGAATGTAAGCCCAATATTCACTCTCTGTTCTTGGTCTGTACCAACTCTTTAGAGAAATATCTGGCTCTTTAGCCAGCCAGATGTTTGCCATCTATTTACTAACTGTGCCTGTCTGCTGTTTGATGAGCAGGTAGTGTACAGTGGGTTTTTAAAGCTTTTTCACTGAAAACAGCTGCCTGCTGCTTCATGTGATAGTTCTCTGTAGGCTCATCACTATGAGCACATTGTCACATTTTTATAACAAAAAAACAACAATTATAGCCACATTAAACATTGCATGAATAAAGACAGAATGCACAGCACCAGATACAAGGAAGAACTAGTGTGAAAAGCATTAAAGAGAAGCAGTGAAGACTCCCACACCTGCCAGTAGACAATAACGAAGCTGTTGACAAAGTGAATCAAGCGCTAAAATGCTGAGTATCACAGAAATGTTGCAGCACCAGGAGGGATCGTGGGACTGCAGTTGACACACACACCAAACTAAAGTCAGCAAGGTGCATTGTCACATGACAGCACAGCTCAGGGGCTTCACTGCCGAAATGAGATTTGAACTCTGATGCACCTCTGCAGAAGCTATAGGTAAAGGTAAGCAATAATAAATGAATGCATCTGCAATAAAGGAATAAGGACAATATTTGCTTGCTGAATTACTTTTGTCAGCAGTTACATGTTGGGTAAGCTTTCCCCCCATGAACTGATTCCCCCTTTCTTTTTTTATTCATTTTACTTTGCTGCTATTCTTGCTTATTATGCAGTGGCCTAGTTAGATGGTGTTTCTCATCAAAGCACAGATGCTGGAAATAAAGAGGACTCCCTCGGTTGAGGATACGAGGAGTGCTGCAGAGGAAGCAAGAAGAACTGAGCTCAGCAGCAGCAGCAGGGCCTGGAGTTTTCAGGCAAGAACAATGAGGACTCTCGCATTCATATCCATCTGGCTTCATAACTCCCACTCCCTCAGTCACTCAACCACTTCACTCTGGATGCCCACTAGTATTCTAATGCACAAAAAAGCAAATGAAACATCAAACTCCAGACGGGAGCACAGTGCAGGCAACGGGTACGGACAGAGTAAACAGTTAAAAAGTGAGTGGGTGCAAAGAGCAGTGGAGAGGATTTCTTCCCTCCGCAATATTTACAGCAGGTAGGAAAAACAGCCACCTCAACTAAACCTTTTTGTGGTAGCTGGGACTGCTTCACAGCCTGAAACAAACCTCCAAAGCTGCGTAAAATGAGGTGCTAGTCAATAGGAAAAGTAAGCAATGGAATTTGTCTGTGCCGCTTTTCCACCCTGAAATGAATAGAGTAAATAAAGTACTCCATTCCACCATCTTCACAGTCTCCTTATTTGTGCCACCATACAGCTCAGCTCCCTATAGAGCTCCCCAGTGGCTCTTGCCTTGCGTCTGCTGTGTTCCCTCTATGTGAAAATGAATAGCCCTGGTCCACAGCTCCGTGTCATGAAGGCACATTGGCGCTGTAGGGAGCAGTCCACCCTCAACCTTAATTATCTGCACACTGAGCCCACAAACTGTGCCAGGCAGGAAGCTGGGGAACCTAACAAATTTCTTTCAGCTGCTCCTCTTCTGTCCTCTGCTCACATCTCAGCTTTATCGGCTATAGGCTGCATCCTACCTCAGGTCGCACCTGTGGGTAAATTAGGCGTGTTTTAAGGATGATGCAAACCATAATATAGGTTTTAGAAGTGGGAGCATGAGAGAGAATGATGCTGCTAGTGTGCTGACCTGAGTGTATAGGTGGCAGTTGCAAGGTCATTTTAATTCTAGTGTAACTAAAGTGGAAAGAAATGTGTTTTCACATTAGTTCCCTCCAGTGCAGAGACAGTAGGTGTGTTTACATTGTGTTTACACAATAAAGTGACAAGAATACATAAACACTAATACACAAA